TAAAGGCAAATGCCACTTGTAAAGTATTTGAACATTCTTCAACTTGGATACTTCTTGAATACAAATAAATTTAGAAATAATTGCAAAAGAAGAGGAATTTCTTGATCAAGTTTATAAATATTAATTTCAAAATAAGAATATGATATACTGCAATGATTTATAATGGCATTTTATACATTTTCAGACAATAAAAACCTATGCATTCAGAAAAGTTTAATTTTAAGTATTCCCTCTGTGAGATTTTTGTTCTTGGACATAAAGATTGTTATGTAGACAGCTGAGTAAGTATTACCCTCTTTCTCAGACTTCCCATTATCTTGTGGCCAGAGAGTGGGGATGACAGTAGCTGCCCTACAAGACTGTGATGAAGCCACGGCAGGCGTTTCATGAACTCTGCATGAAGGTTGGCCCAGAAAAAAAGGACGAGGCACACGTCACTATCAGCCCTTGTCTCCAGAAATCACACACCAAAGTAACATATACAGGCAAACTTTAGAAGCTACCTGCACAGAGAAGCCTGTGTCCAAACATATGATGGTTTACAGCATGAAGCACAAATTAAGCAACGTCACAAAAATCAACTCATTTTTAGCAAACATTGTATGAACTGGTTGGCCATCATGCCACACTAAGGCATCCATTCAAATACTTCCTGTTAGCAGATAATGTTCACTCACAAATGGCCAAACATTACCAAACAAATAATTACAGCATTGTAGAGTTAATGCAAACGATAACTTGTGCTTGCTCATGTTCATACAATGAGTGCAATTTGTGTATGTTTTCATTGATCATAATGGCACAGAAATTACATACAATCTTTATGTTACCTGGAAATGTCGTAGGAAGGCAAGTTTACCTCTGTGGAACAGCACTTGCCTAAGGATGCAAGGGGCCCACAACACACATGAAGAAACAACCCCAGCAAACAACATCAGCTCACGGACCCAGGGGCAGGACCCACACTGGGTCTCAGTCCTACAATACACGTACTCGGGGAGGGTGGGTGCTGAACCAAGGGTGGGGGTGTGGCTCAGTAGGGCCTACACTGGATCTGGGTCCTACCAACACGCATGCGCGCACTCATGGAAGAGAGAATACTAAACTTCCGGTGGTCAAACACATACAGAGGTTTGAGGAACTACATATGCCAGTATCTCTAATCAGCTAATTAAAAACTTTCAACATGAAAAAGTTCAAGACAATACTGACAATACTTCTTATGCAACACAGAGTGTAAGAGAAGTAAACCCAGCAGTGTCTTTCTTACATCCATGTTGAAAACCAGCAAGAAGAAAAAAAGAAAAAGAAAAAGAAAACCAGCAAGCAAGCAAGCACACACACACACACAAAGCACATACTTCTAAAGCCTCATGGACTAAGTCAGTGACTTACAAAAGCCTAATTGTTCAAATATGTAGGTGGGGGAATCACTGTTGGGGGAAGGAGACAGGATGGCAGAGCTCACATGGAGAGCTGAGAAGCAAGCCGGGCAGGTTGCTTAGGGACAGAGCACTTGTCCGGGACACAGGAGGCTGAGTTCCAACCCAAAGAACTGCAACAGAAAAGCTGAAAGCAGGTCTTGTAACTGTTTTAAAATTATCATTCCTTTGAAATGCTCATAGTCTGAGAGAAAGAAATTCTCTTAAACTAATCAGTAGCCAACAGCAGATCATGAATTTTATAAAAAGGCAAATCTGAGGTTGAAAAACAAGAACATTCTACGACTTTTCTGAACAGGGCTTGAAACGGTGGCCTGCTCATAGCCAACCTCCACTCTTGTTCTAAAATGGTCATTTTAAACCTTTTCCCACCCCTCCTGTGCTCTTTTTCTAACATCTCCTCCCCCCTCAACACTCTTGGCAGATCGATAAAAAAAGCATATTCTCTGAACGTGTTGGTATTTCCATTCTCTCTGCCTTCTATTGAACATAACCCAACAGTTGACGTGTGTGCTAATCGTCCGACTCTCCTTCCCCTAGAGCAAGCCCTCAATCCCAAAACTCGAGGCTCCTGCCTATCTCCCACAAATTCTGGACAAGACCCAGTACAGATTCATCATGCCCAACGTCCCCTATGCTCCCAACCTAATCAACTGCTGCTGCTTCTCCTTCTCCACACTGGGATTTAAAAAAAAAAAAAAAATCACTTTCCTTCAATTCCCTGTCCAATCTCCTTACCCTAGATCAGTTAGGGCATTTTCTGCCAATGACAAACAGGAATCTGAGGCCACTGCGCAAGCTCGTAGCCACACCATCAAAACCTTTCCCACCCGAGCTCAGTGACTCTCTGTCCAATGCTTAGCCATCTACCTGTAACGTGACATCACGCTTTCTCCTCTGATCTATCTTTACTGTCCTTGAAATTTTTACAACGTTCTCCCATCCTGGGTCTCTTCTCATCATCAAAACAAAAACAAAAACAAAGCAGAAAACAGAGCAAAATGTTATAAACATACAAACACCCTAAATCTCCTTATGTGCTAATGGTTTTTACCAACGTGATACAGTCCTCTATAAAGAGGAAACCTTAAATGGGGATGGTCTCCATCAGCGTGGTCTTTGGCCAAGCCTGTGGGGGCATTTTATTAATTAATGACTGGCATGGGAGGCCCTGCCCACTGTGGGTCCTGGAAAGCTGGTGAGCAAGCCAGTGACCAGCACCCCTTGAGGGTCCTTCTGCTCCTGTGTTTCTCCATTGACTTCCCTCCATGACCGTCTGGGATCTAGACCTGTAACCCACACAAACCCTTCCCTTTTGCAAGGGAAGCCCTTGTCTGGCTGCCAGCAGCCTTGCTGTCTGTCTAGACCTCCCAACTTCTGACACAAAGTACCCAACCTCAAGTATTTTGCTACAGTAACACCAGACTAAGGCAACTTCTTTCAATACATTTTGTTCTAATATTTCAAATTTACCAAAGCCTAGTATATTCTTTTCACCTATTCACTCCTCAACTCACTGCCTTCTAGTTCCACTAGGGGCTGTCTGGTTAGGATGGCCTCTGGGCACACCTGTGAGGGCTGTGTGGGTAAGTCAGCCTCTGGGCACACATGTAAGGACTCTCTGGCTAGGTTGGAGTGTGTGAGCCTGAGTTATCTAGGTTATATTGGCTGAGGTAGGAAAAGGCACCATAGCTGCTCAGCACATGGGAAAGCGAGCTGAGCATTGAGGATTTGTCTCTCTCTACTTCCTGACTATGGCTGCAATGTGACAGGCTTCCTCAAGCTCCTGCCACTGTAACTTCCTCACCATAGCCTGTGACCTCAAACTGTGAGCCAAAAGGAGCCTAAAGTTTTCCTTAAGTTATACTGACTGCGAATGTTAACAAAGTAATGAGAAAAGTAACTGCAACAGGTAGATAGTCTTGTTTTTATGTTTCATCCACAAAGTGAAGGTGGCTGCCTCTCTCCAGGGCAACAGACAACAGAAATTCTGACAGCAGTACAGATCTAGAAGTCAGTGATACAAAAAAACAAACAAACAAAAAATGGAGATTAGGTTAAAGTCTATGCATTGAAAAGGAACTTTCACCCTCACTCCACAAAGTGGCTTTAAGAAAACACTAGCCATCAAGCTTATAAAGACTCCTGCTTCCCGAGGTAACAGCACCTTTGATAAATAAACCCTGTGGACACTATGACCAGGAGAGATCTCAACGACGTAAGCAATGAAATCTTACCACAAGCTCCCCCTTCTCTAAGTGTACTTTCCAGAGCATTTTCCATATCTCATCCTTTAATATCAGCACAGACATTTAGGAGAAAAGAATAGCCTTGGCAATTTCCACAAGATATGCCAACAGAGAGAAGAATGTAGAGATGAAGTGAGATTAGTGAATCAGAAACTAGGGAGGGAGGGAGGAAGAAGACAGGAGACAGAGAGTGGAAAGGAAAAGACAGATCAAGAAGGGATAGAGTTAGGGGAGGATGGAGGGAGACATGGGAGATGTTAGAAGGATGCAGCAGAGAGAGAAAGAGAGAAGAAAAAGGAGGAGGAGGCCAGAAACAGTTTGAGAGAAAAGAGAGAGAAAGGAGTGGTAAAGGAGGTGGAGAGAGAAGAGGGTTAGGTAGGGAGGAAAGTCAGAAACTTTTTTAAAAGGAAGACGTGACAGGGTCAGGGAACAGGTCTGAAATACTGAAGCAGCAAATGTGCCACACCTTAAGATTCACCTTTGCACTATGCCAGTAGACACTGATTAGACTCAGTGCATGGAGAAGGGAGAGTGGAGTGTTGAGGCAGGGGGATTGCATCTGTTGTGGCTGGGAGGGGAGGAAGCAAATTCTCACATTTTCAGAAAAAAGTCAATTAGAAAAGAGTTATCAGGAAGAAGCAGCATTAGCGGACAGCGGCAGGATTCAAGCCCTTCTGCTCCTAAACTTCTCAAAGCTACACATGCAGACCTTTGACCAATACCACAGTCATTTTAAAAAGCCACAACAACACTCACAGAGTAACAGAAATACATGCAAGCGTCTCAGCTCCTCAATTCTCTGTGTCAGTCACTATCCTCTTATGGGAAATGCCAGAAAACCAGCTGAGCAAAGCCAATGGCAATGATGCTTTCCTTTGAGATGGTCTCACTGTGTAGCTCCAGGTAGCCTGGAATTCCATAGACCAGGCTAGCCTGGCTCTGCCTCCTGAGTGCCCGGTTAAAGGCTACACTACCATGCCATATGACGACATGAAAGCTTACAAAGGGCTTGACAATTGCACAGTAGAATAACACAATGACTGACAATCTTCCCTCGTCTAAAACCCATCCACTTTTTGTCTCTGTGTCAGGCAACCTCTCACTATTGAGACATGGAAGGAAATGAAAGTTTTGGCGTCGTGGGTCTCCCTCTTTAATCCAGGCTGGCTTTGAACCTGCAATCTTCTCAGTCTCCTGGGTGCTGTGACTACAAGACCCATGCTCTCGTCCACCTATGACGTCACCAGCACCCCTGAGATGTCAGTGGCCCCAGCAGCCCTGGGAGGACTGGGCGTGGCTCTGGACTCACCCTGTTAAACACTGGCAGCATCATGTAGAGCTTTTCCTCCTGCTCTTTCTGGGTCATGTGCCTCGGAGGATGGCACAGTTCGGTGAAGAGCCGGCGGAGGTGCATGAGGCCCAAGGCATTGTCCTGCGGGCTGCACTCCTCCTGCCGAGGCCGTCCCATGATCCTCTTCACCATGTTCATCTTGGCTGGTGGGTGGAACACACTTCTGTTCCTGTAGGAGAATGTCAAGACATGAACAGTCAGCATGTCCGTCGCCATGCCTCCGTCAACAAGCATGTGAGAACTTTAAACAGCCCTGTGACAGTCTGCTTCTTTAAATGCAGAGATGCAGCTGCTAAACCCCCGAGAGCAACTCCGTAAGCCATGCAACCTCAACTTCATACTGTTCCCACAGTTTATATACAAGTTAACGGGGAAGTTTTCCATTCATTTCATATCAAGTTCAAATCATAAACAGATCATGAACCTTACCGCTACTATATGGCTTAACAGTTAAGCATATGTAAAAGGGATAAAGCCAGAGAGTGAACCCTAACCTTGAAACACCTAAAATCAAAACACACAAGTTTTCTAGTTTTATTTTAAAATGTTTTGGTGGGAAGAATTTTAAGCATGTGGTGAACAAATTTGTTAGTCTAAAAATACCTAAGTTAAATGGAATGCTATCCCTTACATGTTATAAATATAAAAAGCTTTATCACAGAGCTAAGGACCTTCTTCCTCCCCTCTCTTTTCAGGGTTTCTCTGTGCAGCCTTGGCTGTCCTGGACTCGCTTTGTAGACCAGCCTGGCCTTGAACTCACAGAGATCCATCTCCCCCACCTAACAGAATGCTGGCATTAAAGGTGTATACCATCATGCCTAGCTTAAGGACCACTTTCCTAAATGGGATTGGAAACCTTTTTTTTTTTTTTTTTTAAGTCTTGTTAATTCATTACACTGATTTTTTTTTTTTTTTTTTTTTTTAAGAAACAGCAAAGAAGCCAACAGAGCACATGATAAGGATGGCCGCCCTCCAATGTGGCACACTTCATGTAAGGATGTAGAAGTGCGTGCTGTGCAGGTATGTAAGACACATCCCTTGCTGGACCCACAGTCAGGAAACTGACCACTGAGTTCCAGACCCTGTGAAATCAGCCCACTTTTGGAAGGCATCAACAGACACTCAGTCACTTGCCAACCGTGCCGGGAATTAGCTAATCTCAGACACAAAACCAGGAAACCTAACACAGGAGCCAGGAAGGCTCAGGGAACGTTGTGGATAAGGACAATCTGGGGGAAGGCAGTTTGTTTTCAGTCTGTTAGGGAGTAGCCATGCCCTGCTCTTAGTTTTGCTGTGGTTCCAGGAACTAGTACGCTACCGTTCAAGAAACAGGAAAGGCTACGTCTAAGCAGGGACTTTGCCTACTTACTGGCTTCTTAAAACTTTGAGAACAAAGATCTGAAGCGTGTTGCTGTCAAGAGTTCTGCGTGTCTGGCCGCAGGCTTGCAGTATGGCAGGAAGGCATGCCGCAGCGCCTTCCAGATGAGGGGTCCAGAGCTCCTCTGGCTATGCTGGGTGTGTGTGGAGTTGCTACTGTGCAAAGCACAATCAATCTATCTCCAAGGGCCCTGCTGCAGCAGAGAGTGCTGGCACATGCAGGCAATGGGATGAAAACATTTAAGGACCGAGGAACAAACAAAAGTGAACTCACTTGAAGGCTGCCCAACAAACTCATTTTTGGAAAATATAACTCAAGTCTGCCGAATGTTAATACAAAGATTTCAGCAAATGCATTCGAGAAAATGTGCTACTGCTCTACAGTCCTGAAAGCCGCTACGTCAACAATAAAATTGGAAGGGTTCACTACGCTTGCACACTGGCAGCTCACAACTGCCCAGAACTCCCGTTCCAGGGTACCTGATGCCCCCTTTTCTCGCCTCTGTTGGCATCTACACATGTGGTGCACAGAAAAATCACTCACACGCATCTTATAAAACAAACCCACAGGAAGGGCCCGGCACATCTGTGCGCTGGGCAAGTATTGCTTACACAACCCAGGGGTACCACTAGAGCCACACCACGGGAAGGTGACGTCCAGAACTTTGCACCCGTCATCAACAGCTCCTCCATTTCTCCCCCAAACTTGCTGTCTGACAACCACCATCCTACTTTCTGACTGTGCTGGTCTGTCATAGAACTGACAGCACATAATAGCTGTACTCGCAAAGCCGCCTGGATTCACACTTCACATAATGAACTGAAGGTTCAGCCATACCGTTTGCAAGCAAAAGGGTTTCTGCAGTCTCTCTAGTCATGCTATTGAATCCATTTATATATTGTCTTAGTTACTGTCCCATTGCTCTGAAGGGGCATGAGGACCAAGGCAAAATTATGAAAGCAAGCATTTAATTGGGGCTTGCTTATAGTTTAATGTAAGCAAGGGTTAGTCCATGATTATCAATGATAGGGAGTGCAGCAGGCAGGCATGGCACTGGACCAGTAGCTGAAAGCTTAAATAGATACACGGATGGATGGATGGATGGATGGATGGATGGATGGATGGATGAATGGATGGATGACATAAATAGACAGAGAAATGACAGATGGATGGATGGGTAGATAGATGATAGATCGATGGATGGTTGGATAGGTAGGTAGGTAGGAAGGTAGACAGACAGACAGGTAACTAGGTAGATAGACAGAAAGAGGGAGACAGAGATAGACTGACTGACTAAATCTGGTATGGGCTTTTGAAACCTCAAAGCCCATTCCCAATAATACCTCCCCCAACAAGGCTACACTTTTTTAGACTTCCTAAAAGTCCACCAACTGAGAATCAAACATTCATATATATGAGCCTGTGGGGGCCATTCTCATTCAAACCACCACATCAAGAGGCCTGTGGGTTGTTTCTGTATCTCGGCTATCGTGAATAGCCCTAAGGCAAGCACAGGGCTGGAGGTCTCAGACATCAATTCCTTTGCAATATCTAGAAGCAGGACTGCTGGATCGCTGCACAGTACTGATTTTAGCATTTTAAGAAGCCTCTGCACTGTTTCCGTAACAGCTCTATTGGTTTACATCCCTAAGAGCAGCGCGTGCAGGCTGTTTTTCTTCCACCTGGCCAGTGTTTGCTATCGTCTGTCTCTCAAGCCAACGGCCACCCGGGCACAGGTGCAGCTCAGGATGTGGGCCTGCAACTCCCTGATGTCCACGTGATGCTGAACATATTTCCATATAAAGCCCACCCAGTGGAATACATTCACTTGAGAAATACTTGTCCAGGTCACTGGCTCGGTTTCTACTTGGGTTATCTGGGAATTTACTAATAAATTGTTTGAGTCTCTTGGATATTTGGGATCTTAACCTCTTAACGCTCACTGCTGGCATTTCCTCCTGCAGGCAGGCTGTCTCCTCACACCTGTCTCCTTTCTCCTGACTATTCCCTCTACTGCTATCTCTCCCAACTGCTTTTGGTGACTATACTTTCAGTGTAGCCAATAGCAAGCAGCCTTCACTTGCTTTTCCCTAGAAGCTTTTGGTTTCTAGTTTACAGTATTTTGGTTTGGTTTTTACATATCCTGTAAAGTAAGAGTGTAATGTCAGTTTTCTGCATTTGGGTCCCCAGTTTCCCCAAAACCCTTTATTACAGGGGACTGTCTTTACCCATTGTGTCCTTGCTACACCTGAGATAGAACGTGACTTTGCTCCTAATCCATGAGCTTATTTCTTGCTATCTATTTTGTCATTCTGTTCCACTGCTGTAAATGTTAAAGTTACTGCCCGTTTGTGATATGTTTTGGAACCAGGAAATAGAAAGGCTTTGTTCCTATTTTCTTCTTCAAGACTGCTGTAAGCTGTGAGTCTCTCTAGGGTCATGGGAATGTTAAGACATTTGTTTTGACTTCATGCAAGAGCAGATCCTGTCATTTGACCGTTAGCCTCCAACTTCCAGTGTAGACTAGACTTCCTGCCTTTGCCTCCTGCAGCTTGGACATCCAGCGAGGGCTGTCACTCTCACTTGCTGCTGCTGTTTGGGGAGTGGGGGTGTTCAGTCATCTTTTCATTCATTTTGCAAAGAAGGCTATTTGGATTTGGACAGCGACTGAACTGATTCTACAGGTGTGTGGACTTGCTCATTAATTCCACCAATCCACAAGTGTGGGCCTGCTTTGGCCCATGTCCTCCCCACCTCTCCCCAGCGTTCAGTGATTTTTCAGTGCACAAGTCTTTCACTTAAACTTGTTCCTAAGACTCATGTCATTTTTTGCTGCTACTGTGAATGGAATTGTTTTCACTCGCTAATGAAGTTCGCTAGGAGACAAATGAACCGCTACTTTTACCACAAGGGGCGAAAATAAGGCTGGAGGGGAATCTAAGCCTTGTAGCTCTCCCTCATGTCCTGATCGCTGTCTTACATTAATGCATCTATTTCAGAGTAAACAAGTCTTGGAAACTATGAGCTTCATGTTTATTTAACATAAAGGCTTGACCAGAATCTGAGAATTTTCTTAGAGATAAATAAATCTTTTTCATTTTAGTCTAAAAACAAAACCATACGCCAAAGAAGTAGAAACTAACTCTTACCCCAGAAGCTGAGGGAAGAGTGTCCTGATGAAAGCCAAGTGAAGTACATGAAAGAAGAACAGGAATTCACAGAACCCTGAGATCAAAGCTCTTAAATCCTGGGTCTGAGTTTCCCCGATGACCTCTTCCCCCATGGCCTTTTGGTAATACACAAACAACACATATATGATATGCTAAGAGCATTACTGATATTCAATAAATATTCATTTTCTTCCTTTACCCTGGTTATGAAAATTCATCCCCTTTTACAACCATAATTGTTTAATCAAGTAAAAAAAATAACGTAACTCCTTAAGAATGTTTACAGAAACTTACACAATGATAAACTCATATACACTATCTACACAAACATATATACACACATATATATCCCTAATACTATTACTACCAATGACAGAGATAATAAAATATCTATAGTAAGCATGTTAGATAGATGGCAGACAGATGGACAGAATCACTTCTCCAGTGGATACTTAAGAGGAGACGTTATTCGGTTTGTTTTGGACACAGGGTCTCACTGCTTTGTAGTCTTTTCTGCTCAGGCTTACCTAGACTAAACTCACAGCTAGCCTCCAGCCTCAGCTTGCTAAGGGCTGAGATTACAGGCTTGTGCCACCATGCCCAACTCAGGAGGAGAGTTAC